CTTGAAAATCTTCACACACAAAAGGAAATCTAGCATGTTCTTCTACATTCTGCAGCTTTTAATTTTCATATGAAGTGAACAATCATTATCCAAATCTGAGGGCACATGTGCTGGGGATGGGCATGCTGCCTAGATTTCTGCATGGTGCTATTTTATGGAGACATCAAATACCCCAAAGGAAAAAAGGCATCAAACAGTTGTTGCAACTCTGTCAATGGAAGAACAGCAACATCACAGAAAATTTTAGTGATCTGTATTTATCTTTATTTTATCCTTGTACTAAGGCAAGTGGACTTTATAAAAGAGGTCTCAAAGCTAAGGTCATGCAGGGAGCAAAAAAGCAAGTGTTCAAATACTGTTCTGTGCTTGGAATATGCCAAGTTGGAAGGGATCCACAAAGGTCATCAAGTCCAATTGGACCTGCACAGGACCATTCCCAAGAATCACACCATGGGCCTGAGAGTGTAGTCCAAATGCTTCCTGAACTCTCTCAGGCCTGGTGCTGTGACCACTTTCCTGGGGAGCCTTTTAAGTGCCCAACCACCCTCTGGGTGAAGAAACTTTTTCTAATATCCAACCTAAACCTTCCCTGACACAACTTCAGGCCATTCCTTCAGGTCCTGTCACTGGTCATGAGAGTGAAGAGATCTGTAACCTGCCCCTCTGCTTCCCCTTGTGAGGATGTTGAAGAGCACAACAAGGTCTCCCCTCAGTCTTCTCTTCTCCAGCTGAACAAAATGACCTCAACTGCTTCTTATACAGCTTCCCCTCAAGGCCTTTCAATATCTTCATTGCCCTCCTTCAGACGCTAACATGCTCAGAGATGTTAATGCAGAGAGCAAATCCAAACAATTTTCTGAAAATTTCTGTCATTTTTACAGATATTAGGGAAGTTTCTATAAAAGGGAAAGACCATCTTGAAAGCCGTCAAACTTCTAAAGTTCTGATATGGCTGAAAAAAGGTCAATCTTCTGTCTGCTATAAAGAAAAAGCCCACCAAAACCACTTGCTGCTAGGAAATTGAATCAAAAGTTACCAAAGATACACCATCATTGAAAGCAGTAAAATTTGATCTCGAGAAAAAAATGTTTTCTTTGCTTAGTTTTTAAGAACATGTAATAGCCTAAAAGCAAGACTGGTGATACTTCTCTCTGAAAGCTTTCCCAAGCTTTTATTTTCTTGTCCAGCAAAATAATGAAAAATCAAATTCTTGAATGTTTTGTTTTGTTTTGTTTTATTAAATGGCAATGTAAACAGAAATCAGGGTGACTACAAGTGCTGCAGTTCAATCTCAGACAGTACCTTTATAGTACCTGAAGCACCTGGAAATTTACTACAAGGCACCAAACTTCAGAAATAAATATCATCAACAGCTTTTGCACCTCTAGCACGAAGGAATTATGCCCAAATAGTAGAGTTCACTTTGACAGGAAAAAGAAATTACTTAAACTTTGTATAAGATAGAGGAATTAACTATGACAGACATTAGCAGCTATCTAGATAGATGGTTGCTTCCTTCCATCTTACCTACTAAACGTTTTGATCTCTCTTTCTCTCTCTCTCTCTCATAAAAACACACCAGAAATTCCTATACACAATGGTGATGTGAAGAACTTGAATACAGCGTGTGGAACATAGCTGGAGTGAAACACTTAGAGTGTTGAATAGGTCACATTAAAAACAAATAACATTTATCAGTAGAAAATAATCACTTAAGACTGATAAATGTATTCAAAAAATGTAAATAAGTAAAGCTTTGCTCTTAAATATTAATATTATTTTCTTCATAATCCATGCCTATAACACAAAATGTAGCTTTTGTTGGCTCTCATTGAAAATTTGGGTGTTGGAGGATGTTATATACTGCCATTTTAAGTACAAAGAAGTTGCAGGGGGAGTGGCAGGGGAGAACCACTTTTTCAGTACAAGAATACGTATGAGACTCCACTGTTTTTCCTGGATTCTATCTTAATTTCATGCATAATGAGCTCAATAGAAGGCTATAATTTCATTTCAGTGGTCAAGGAATCAGACCACAGATATAATTCCTGCAGTGAACTTCACACGGAATTTCAGTGGAGGAAACTTTCACAGGTTAATGTTAGATGTTGTTCTGGAAGTTGGTTGGGGACAAGTACTCACGCAGCAATGTGGTAACGTTTTCCCCATGGAAGGAAAAAACTGCATATTATCACTTAAATGATGAACTTGATATCTCCAGCAGCATAAGGCGCAAGAAATCCAAAGTAACATTTCCATCTTCTGTGCTAATGTTATCAGGATTTCTAGATGGTTCTTTTTTATTTTACCTTTAAATGAAGCAGGTACAAGATGCAGTGTTTAGTCTTATACCTGGGACTTGATCTTGTAAAAAGATGGAAGCTGTGAACCGAAGTAGAGCCAAAGAGTTCAGAACGCATTCATGTTGTAAGCTTTTACATAGAAGGCTTTTAATATCTCAAATAATCAATTTTCTAGTTTCTGTTCTGCAGGAGTCACTGCTAGAAAATTATGAAGGCTGTTAAATATGACTAGGCATTTTTTTAAAGACTTAATAATGTGGTTCTCTTCACAAGAGTTACTGACTAGAATTTGGTTATATCAGGTTTATGAGACATTACCGACTCCAGCAGAGGGGGTCGGATGGGAACCCTTGTGAACAAGTCCTGTACAGACGCAGAGACAAGTTTCTTTCCTTTATAATGTTGTATATCCTGTGTTCATCAAGTCTTAAGTGTTTTTCATTCTTTCATGGAAACTCAGTACACAACATCTAAGTGAAGGAAAGTAAACTTCAGTGAAGCATAGGTTAAAGTTCCTCCTTTCTGACTGCTGATAGCTCTCATGCAAGAGGTGGTAAACACTGTCTAGAGGCTAAAATTGCAAACCTGGACCACCTACGAGAAGTATCATTGAGTCTCAAATAAGCCCTGCATGTTTTTGGAGGTAAGTTCTGTGTAGTGATCAGGCAGCATTAATACTTTCATGAATCTTTAAACTTTCTTCTGGGAAAAGAAAACTTAGAATTGTGGTTTGGGCTCCACAGTATGCCCAGGATTTTAATATAAAAAAACAGCACTTGTTTTTTTCCTATTATGGCTTACCTGTTGGCAGATTTTCTGCTTAGAGAGCCTACCAACTGGGTTTATACCAACAGAAACAGAAACAGTCGGATTTAGTCTGTGATTAACAGAATAAATTGCCCTTCCTATAGATAAAAAGTCTGCATTTTATCAGAAGGGATAGGTCACAGAAAAGTGATGACACAGCCAGGTTCTCATACTTGAATACACTGAGGAAGTGACCCTTTTGGAGGAGGAGTCCACCCTGCCAGCTGTGGATGATGGACAGAGCCTCCAGCACCAACACTCCGCAGAGGTTGCTCTACGCCATCTGAGGAGTAAGTCTCCTCAGCTTTGGGCTCCTGCCCCAATTCCTGCTTCTCCGGGCTCTCATTCCCATAAATCTAGTCTCCAAAAACATAATTGATCTAGATGTTTCCTTCACTTTCTTGTGACAAATCTGCAGTACAATCCTCAAAAGAAATCCAGCTGTAAACTCTGTATGACAATGGGATTGCATTCTCTGTAAAAAAATTAATGTCATATTCTTCATACAGTAAACCACAATTAGCCTTGCATTTCACTGTCACAAACTTTGCTATCCTGATGATCATTATCCAGTTGGGATCTGTATCAGCTGTAGGTTCGTTCTGATCTCATTTGTTCCATTTGGTTACTGTAATCACAAATTGCCTTGTTTCATGGAGCAGAAATTTACTTCACCAGATAATGATCTCGATAGGAGCCATGTGCAAGGCTGATAAGAGAGCCTGGAAAGCAATGATTTCTTTCCACCAAGTACCTGGGAATCTTGGAAAGATGCACTGCCTTACGTAGATTAGGCACCTTCATCCAGGCAGTGAGATTACTGCTGCTTCCTTCCCTCTTCTATGTATCTCATTACGTAGGCCATAGATTTTAAAATTTAGGGAGAGCTGATAAATACACTAGAGCTGTAGGCACTAATTCTACTTTTTATTGAAGATTGAGAGCAAATCCTTAGCATAAACTGTTTCTTGTCTGCCTCAGCTTAGCTGTAGCTATTCATAAATATATACCCATTGCTAGTGCTGGTGTCTCTCTCATGCCCACAACAGTTGATCTGGGCTGTATTTAAATCAACAACCCAATTTCTCTGTGATATATGAGTGATGAACTCCTGTGAAAATCTCATCCATATTACATTGTATATCACATCCATACATGCAGCTGCTACAGTTGACATCTCAAACTTTAAACAAGGTTTACCTTAGGTGATACCTTCCCCTTCTCATTTTACCAAAAAACCCAGCACAAAAGCACAAAAGCCCCAAACCCCCAAACACATATTCAGGGCTGACCTTTGGTGACAGATTCTGATTTGTGGGACATTGTCAATCATAAGAAAACATTTCTCTAGTTACTACAAGCTCTAATGCTCATTAAAGACATGAGCCAACTCCCATGGAAGCCACTGGGATTCTTTCACTTGTCTTCCTTGTGGTTCAGATCAGGACCTGAAACACTCATATTTCTAAAAATCACTCTTGTTTCCAGTGAAGGCCTTCTGTCATTTCTATATGAAGTGTTTATAAGAAGATATTGAACTGTACTTCTCAATGACTCAGTAAATAACTCATGTCATGCTCAGTGTTCTTGGTTGGTAATTAAAGATTTAAGACATTCAACAAAAATGTCATTGCTTAATTAAAACCAATAAAAATCTTTCCAAATAAAAATATTTGCCTGTTGCCACTCAGACTTTGTTCTAGGTGTACTATAGATTTTTTCCAGCTAATCTTACTTAAAGCAAGCAGGAAGTTATTTTTCCCTATAAAAAAATCATATTGCCTCAATCTTCACACTGTTAAGAGTTTTAATGTGTATTTATTCTTCAAACATGTGGTCCCATATGCATTATTTAACTTCATTAGAAATAATGGACAAATCGATACTCACTGTACATCCATACTGCTTGTGTTTCTTTGTTGGAATTGTGGAGCTATAGTCTGGTTATTATCCGAAAGCATTATAGACTCTGTTGGCCTCTACAGCTGGCTCTCAGGTCCCTCTGCAGCAGTTTCTTGGTCTATAAAGCAGATGTATACTCTTAATACCTTCAAAACAGAAAAAAAAAAGAAATCCCTCCTCCATATACCTCCCCACCCCCAATGCCATTGGTTTGATGAATTACACTGACTATTTAGTTATCCTTGCAGAAGACACTGTTTTGTTGCATGCTGAACAACCACATGAACAGTGAAGCAAAAGAGAATGCCAAGAAGGAAAGAGAAAGATAGAATCCACACATATTGTCCCAATGATAAATATGAAGCAGGATCCTGTTATGATCCAAGTTCAAAGGAACTAGCTGATGTCTTTGAGACCCTCAAACGATATATTCTGGGGTATTGGAAAAGAGAATGATTTGGAAGCCTAGTCTAGATAACTTAATAGAATAAAGGTCACATTAACGCTAATTTATAAGCTTGAAAATCTATTACTTTGCTTTCTAATTCCTGGTTTTGGAGATGTGGACACAAAATTAAATAGAAAAAAATGTGTTTAAAAGCAACTTCTCAAGTAAATATTTATATATTTATTTATTGCCTGTATGAACAGTATTTAGGCCTATACTGAGGTAAGAAGCAGCAAGGGAAAATGTCAATTTTAGAAAATAAAGCTTTATAAAATCACCTCAGTGAACCAAAATATTTTCACAGAACAGATTGTTCATAATATAGCTTTTTTCACCAATTTTAAATCATAAAATATTCCTCTAGCCTAGTTCTGCCTAGTTCTGTTTGAGCTAGCTCTAGCACTGACACAGTATAAATATTCCAGTAAAATACTTAGTTCAGCTTTCCTGAATCCAAGTCAGAGGCTTTCTCACTGTTTAAATATCCTTGATTTCTTTTTCTCCAGTACTTTTATTTTCATGTTCAAAGAAGTTTAAGTAATTAGTAGGTTACCCTTTTTCTTCTGCATAACTCTGATGGCAAACTCAATCGTATTGTAAATTCTTAGGTGTTCTGTATTCTATATTTTAATTTTAGCTAATAAAAGATGAAAGGATTATTAGTACCAAGTACTTTGGCTGACCCTAGAACACTGTATTTCCCTTTCCACTTTAAATGGTGGTATGTACATTTTTATGAACTTGTTTTTACTTCTTAACATCCTAATTTCCTCATAGGCATCATGTTTTTGATATCTTTAGGGAGTCTTTGATCTGTCTTGCACCTTAAAATATTTGATCTTTTTTTATTTGATGTAATCATTTTTGTTGGGTTCTTTTGATGTCTCCATTGTATGCTTTCCTGTATCTCTCTATTTTTGCTTTCAAAGAGCCCTCTTTGTTCAGAGGCAGACATTCTTCCCCAATGCTGTTTTCCTGGCATGTTCATCTATAAAAAATATGCATCCTTTGTTTTTAATTTGAGTGGCTCTTATACTATGCCAATTCCTAATACTTACTTTCATTCTATGACATTCACAATTGCTAAACACAATGAAAATGTGTCCTCCTGTACTTTGTGTTTCTCAAGATCACCATTATTCTAATAAAAGTTAAATAAAGAATAGTCTCTTAGAATAGTAGAGCAAGAACTTGAAATGTTCATAAAATATCTCTTTTTTTATACTGTGATATTGACTAGCTGATATGTAGCTACTTGAGTCTTTTATGTTTTGCCAGTTTTTTTCTGCCTCTTAAAATTTAACTCAGAACTATGCAGAGTACTTCAGCTTTAAGAATCTGAGTGAAAATACGATGCAGAGTACTGATGGCAGAAAGTTGGCCAACCAACTTCTCTGCAAACTGCATGCTCAAAATTCAGTGGCATGATACTTCTCTACCAGAATTTTAATTATAGATTGTGGTATATAACCTTTCAGGAACAGTATGATTCCCTGATTACCTTGTCTTCTATAGTTTGTAACCATTCTGATAGTTACTAGGATCATTTCTAGGATCTGAAGTCAAGGGTGGCTTTTTGATTTGGTCTTTAGTTGGTTAGTTGGTTTGGTTGGTTGACTGGTTGGTGGGAGCTTTTTCTTTTTTCGCAGTACATCAAAAAAGTCTTCCAGTCTAAAACCATAGAAAATTACATGGAAAATTCAAACAAACAGCCCAGAAGTTGTCTATGCCTAGAAGTTCATTGTAGAGATGATTGTGGTCATTTAAATGCAGGCCTTACTCTAATGTAATATAGCATCATTACTTTTATGAGATCTATGGATGACATTCTTCTGTGACACTAGCATTTAGCTAGAGGAAAGAAATCCCCAGCTCATTTATTCACATAGCATTAAGATGTGTTGTTATGAGCAGCTCAAAAGGGATTTAGGACAACACAGGATCTATACTCATTCACTGCTCATAATACACCAGAACTATTTTCATTCTTACTGAAAGTCCTGTAACAGAGGTAACCATATAGTTTCTTGAGATTTGATTAAGTGTCTCCCTATAGTTGATCAGAGCTCCTGGAATCAAATGACTGGATGAGAATGTCAGCTTTCACATGAAAGAAATTGAATGTTTTTATCCTCCATGATTGTCAACAACTGCTAACAAATAAAACACCCTATCCTAATAAATGGAAACTAAAGTAACACATAACATGAATTAAAAATTTTAGATGTGTGCATTTTCAAAAAAATTGCACATTTGGGAGACAGCGAAGAAGTGATTTATGGCAATAAATTCTGCCAGGATGCAAAAACCCTCCACTTTCATCTCACCTTTTGAAGTGGTGCTGCAAGTCAAGGTTGATGCATATTCTTCATGGTTTACACTGTGGAAGTTCAGCTTCCAGTACCTGTCATCCATAGTTCCCCAATGGATCACGACGCAACACAGACATCCTCCTTTCCCCAGGCAAAACCAGAATTTTCATAAGAGTGGTCACACTCAGATTTTGTACCCTAAAAAGAGAAAATATGTTTCTTTTGTGGCATTTTTTGGTGACAATAAATAAAGTAAATAAATTAAAATTGAGGGCTATTTTGAGTAAACTATTTGTGCACCTGTCAGTTTGACAGTCATATAACCTCTCCCCCGTATCTTTTTCAATATTAGTTTTATCATAAAAGAAATAATAAAACAGACATTAGAATTCTATACCTTGCCAAAAATAAGTGAAGCTGGTATAAAGACTTCAACAATATCTTTACATGCTTTCCTTCCATATCAAAAATAATCTTGACATTCTGTATGTCAGCCAGCCAACACTGGCTGACATAATTTCAAGGTCATTATTGCCATTTTAAAAGTACAATCTCTAAAATAAATAATATGACTGGAGTTGTGCTGTACTTTTGCATTTGGCAAAAATAGAGAGTTTCAACGTTTAATTATTTGTATGACTATCTCAGCATTATTTTCTTACATAATATTGAGAAAGATTAACTACTGTGTTAGTGCTGATTTTAAGAAAAATGTCATTTTGGAAAAGCTGAAGAGAGGGGAGTAACATCAAGATGAAGTTACCAACAAAGAAATTGTTCTTTCAATGAAGTAAGCCCCACAGACATTGTAGTGTAATTTTTTGTTAATGAATGCATTAGCAGAACTTTAACACAGAAGAAACCTCTGAATTTTAGACTGTCCCAGATCTTTGTTCAAACTGGGTATGACAAAAGCATTTTATATTGATTATATATTTCATCTGCACAGTTGGATGCACTAATGATAGATTCTGAGTTTATTTTCACACTAACTCAGAAACAGTAATTAAAATAATTAAAATTCTTTGCACAGCATAAAAATTCAACAGTGTAATGTTATTTGCAGATTCATCATGAAGACCTCAATGACATGATGGGGGTTTTACATGTACATGGCTGCTAAGATCAAAGGCTTGAGGCAGCAAGAACTTATGCAGCGAGCATCGGACCAACAGAATATTGTTTCCCTCCCTTCTTGCTCATGTATCCAAGAGTTGAGTGGGAAAGATGAGCTAAAGGGGTTTCCATTAGGTCTTTTCCACTGCCATCAAGCACAGAGCAGCCTGAGCTCTCTCTGCAAGGCAGCCTCTAGCCCCACGCATGCACTAATTTAGCTTTAGCAAGAGGCTTATGTTCTGCAGACCTGAAGGTTATACAGGTTACTTGCCAAGAGCCCAAGGGTCACATCCAATTTGCATATAAACCATAGACATTTGTTGGAAGTGCATATAACCATGTTTGGCATGTAGATGGAAAATAATGTATGGTAGTTCGAGTTCATTAGCAGCACCAGTCAGCAGCTCTGTCCCCATCCCTCCGATACAGGGAGAGGGCAGCTGGAGCACACATTATATGACTCAGCAGGTCTCATCTGGCCCTTGGGCTGCACATTATATGCCCCCACTCTACTGTTTGATGTGCTGAACAATCTCAGATTTCCAACTAGGGATGTAAACTGATAATGAGATTGCTTTAATGCTCTAAATCTCAGTGGCATTATCAGAAAGGCCATTTTCTGGCTTTTGCAGTTGCCTGAAAGGGAAAGGGAAATAAACACTAGAGGTGAAAACAGAATTGTTGTGTAAGTTACAAGACAAACAGGAGCTGCTGATTCAGGAGACACTGTAAACTGGCTGCAATCAAGTACCAATTTTGTTTTCTTCTGATACATGTCACATCAAGTACTTATTTAAAATGCTGTTCAGGTGGACAGGCTCAAAGAAAGCAGCATCACATTTCCACCAGAGACTTGAGAACAGCAGATAAACAGTGTGAATGCCTTGTAAACATTCAAATAGCACAGTATGCCATATGATATTTTTGTGTACAATCACAGTATACCAAGAGATCTGCTTCACATCAGCCACAAAACCAATTATCTGCTCAATGCAACATTAAACCATCCACTGTCACTTCTGTTTCCAGGTGTTACAATAGTCCATAATTGTTTCTCTAATTCTCACCCAACACTTGGGCTATAGCATAATTTCTAGTTGTCAGGCATCACATAAGTCTATTTTAAATTTTGCCAAAGTGTAGTCTTGAGAAACTACAAACAGCAGGGGCCAAATTTTAATAAGTATCTCTGCTTCCATCACTTCAGCAACATGATTCCCACTGTTGTAATAACAGGGGGTCTTTAACATACCTTCAGGGACACACAGTTAAAGCCAAGAAAAATGTCACAATTATTAACTGACTACAAAGAAAGAAACTAAGGAAACTATTTTAGCATTGCTAGAAAAGTTACTATCTTAATTAGAGCATTAGAACATTGTTATATGTCTCTCTTCAGTAGCAAGTGGTAGTGACATCTGTATTTATACTGAGGTAAACAGACAAGACACTGACGTTTATTAAAATTAGTAATGTATTCTCTTGCAGTATCCTTGAACTCCCAAGACCTGTCTGTACTGTAGCTGACACCACTGCATGTCCTCTCTATCCTCTTCCCCAGACCACACCTGTGACATGTGGGGGCATGTCACAAGCCCCTTTCTTATGTGAGATATACACCCCTATCCAGTGACATCCAGCAAGGCACTGGCACTTTATCCTTTCACTTGTTCTGTCCTGAGCTGTTTTCCATCTTTGGCTAGTGCCAGATATGTCCAGCTGAGCTAAACCACCTAATTACAAACACATGCAACACTTTTGTCAGGCTTTGACTGGCAGTAATGAGGGTAATCTTCAGTTTCCAGAAACTCCTAACAAACAGTTGTAAGCCACCGACCAAAAATCCAGGAAAATTAAATTAAACTGCTTGTGAGCTCAGTGGGTGCAGCTGCATCACTAATTTAGTCTTTTGTAGGGTTTCTTTCAAGAGAGAGGCTGTCTTGTGTCCATACCTAGTGTCCCCTGACACTCCTTACGCACAACACTACCCACTCCAAGACCTTTCCCTCCTGATGGAAACAAGAAACATAGAGCACCCAGCTCCCCAAGCATGCTCAGTAAATCTCAGAAAGGAAACCAGTGTGAAATTCATACTGAGAAAGCAAAGTGTGGACACAGATTTAAGGGCCATAACAACTGAAACAAAATCTAACCCCGCAACTCTTAGTAAACCAGGTGCACTGAGTGAACTCTGCTTCTCCCTATTCCTCACAGAATGAATGAAATTACTAGAGAAAGCTGTATTGAAGGGGGAGAATAAAGTAGAAATAGGAAGTTGTGGTAGTTTTATTCTAGGCCTTCCTTGGTGACCAGTTTGTAACCAAGGAAGTGGCCATATTACCCAGTATTCCCTATGATTTTTACATAAGCCAGGGGTATAAAGAAGAAGGGAGGAGAGGCTTTTGCTCTCTTCCCTTCTGGTGGCTCTGGAGGTGCAGGTTCCCTGCTGTCAATTCTGCCATATGGGGTAGTGGGGCCTGGTAGGCCTTGTGAGACCTTGGGAGGCAGAGGGTGCCGGTGGTCATCCAGCACGATTTCTGTTGTCCCAAGGAGAGTAGTAAGATATTCTTTTGCTAATTCTTTAGTTTGCTAGATCCTGAGTTTCTCATTGCGTGTATATCTATTTTGTTTTGGTTTTTTTCTCCCTCCCCCTTTCCCTTTTCCTTATGGAATTGTATATAGAATTTCAACTGTATATAATATATGCAAATACATTTATTTTCATATAGTTTGGCTAGTCTGGATTTTTCATAGTTTTTTTCTTAGCTCTTTGTTTTGTGTTGGGTCTGGGTACTTGGCGGGGAACCAACTAAAACTTAGGCAGAACTTAAACAGAGTAATAGATTCTTTCTCATTTTTGTTAGTAGCTCTATAAAGAACAAAACTAATAGTTGTATCATGAAGTGGGGAACAATATGTAGCTCAGGGAGAAAAAATACAGTCATCTGAGTGAATCGACTAAATGTGCCTCAGACTGAGTGGCTACTCTAATCCAGTGCAAAAGCTTGCAGCAATTTGGGAAGGAAACACGGAAAAATTGGAGTTCTCTGAGCACCTGTGCAATTTAATCTTCACTAATCTCTGAGTAGTATCCAAACCTAATATTTATTACTTTACTCTAGGAATTGAATTGGCCCCTCTTACTAGCAATCAAATCAATCAATTATTCTCAACACAAAGTATAATAATATTTTAAAGTCTTTCACTGTTTTCTTGGTGAAGCAATATTCATTCTTCAGCAGTTGTTGTGTAATGGACTGAATTACTGAGTCTTGAACTACACGATTGGTACTGAAAAGAGTCTGAAAGTGTTCAGACCATCGATTCAGAATGGAGGTTTTATCTGTCAGAAGCATTTGACCATCTGCCCTGAGTAGGGGGCTTTGTACCTGGTATGTAGGTCCTTATGCTGTTTTCAAGGCCTCATAGAATCCTCTATAATCACCTGTATCTGCGCATAATTGAGTTTTTCCTGCTAGACTGATCCACCACTTGTTCTGGATGTCACAAAGTTTCTGTTGGAGCTTGCTGCATGCAAGACAAAAGACTGCTTTTCTTACATAACAAGATGGCTGAGCAAGATGTGCTTGGTGAGCAGTTCTCTTCTTCTTCAACAATTCCTGGATCTCTTGATTGTTTTCATCAAACCAGTCCTTGTTCTTCTTGAAGAAGAACCCTAAGCATTCTTCAGAGGACTGCAGGATGCTATTTTTAATATGTTGCCAAAGTGCTTCAGGAGAGAGATCTATGGAATGATCGAGCCTAGTTTGAAGGTTTACCTGAAAGCTGTCTCATTGTGGCTGATTGAAGATTGTTAACTTGGAGTCTCCTCCTTGGAATACTGCTCCTTTTAGGTTTGAACTTAAGGTTGAAGTTTATAGAGCACAAGTCGATGATCTATTTGGCATTCTGCACTAGGCATCATGTGGGTACGATGAACATCGCGAACATCTCTTTGTCGCACCAAGACATAGTCAATGAGATGCCAATGCTTGGATCTAGGATGCATCCAAGTTGTCTTCAGACTGTTTTTCTGCTGAAAGATAGTGTTGGTGATGGTGAGCTGCTGCTCCGCACAAAACTCTAGCAGAAGGCGACCATTATTTTTGCTGTTTCCAATACCATGCTTGCCTAATATTCCTTTCCAGGCTTCAAAGTTCTTTCCTAGTCTGGCATTGAAATCACCAAGGATAATGATCTTATCAGCTGCTGGAACCTTTTGGGTAAGGCGGTGCAGGTCGGTTTAAAATTTATCTTTTTTGGCAGGGTCAGCTTGGAGAGTTGGGGCATATATACTAAAGAGGAAAACATATTGCTTGTTGTGTAGTGGAAGGCATAAGGAGATAATGCGATCAGAATGATCTGCCAGCAGATTTTTGAGTTTAGGAACAAAAGAGTTTTTAATCATGAAGCCAACTCCTGAAAGATGCCTTTTGGTCCTCGGTTTGCCTGACCAAAAGAGTGTGTAATTGGCACTGTGTTCTCTAAGGCTGCCTTCCTCACGGAGACAAACTTCACTGAGTGCAGCAACATGATAGTTTGTGGGCAATTAGGGCAGAGCAACACTCAGGATGTCCACTATCCTCAGTATCAAGCATGGTTCTGATGTTTCAGCATGTGAGTGCCAATTTGGGTACACCTTTGAAGGCAGGTGTATGCCTTTGTCTCTTGATCTTTGTGTGACCGCAATTAGAAGACGCCTGTTAACCAACCGGGTGAAGGGTGGAGATGAGCTTTGGTTAGACCACCTTTTCTAGGCCCCTCTCCATGTGGAGCAAGCAGTGCTCTCCTTGAAAAAGTTGCTTGGTCATGCAGGATGCTGCCAAATCTCCGGGGTCAGACTCAGGCGACCAGTGTCCTGAACTGGGTCTGCGGTTTCCAGTGCACTTTATCACCTGCCTTTTCGTCCCTTGCCCATCGCTATAGGCCTTTACAAATGTGGGTATAACCTTTAAGCCTGCGCAGTAGATTTTTTAGGTGAGACACATCATGCGTGGAACTGGACCCACCCTTTAATCCTAAGGTTCATTTGCCAGGGCCTACCAAGCTTGGACAGTGGCAGCGAGGTCCTCAAGACATAGATTTAATTAGACTATCCTTCTCTTAAATGGATGCCCTTACAGGGCTAAGCAAGCTCCATCTGCCCTGGTTTGGAATTAGAGTTGTCCTTCTCCTAAAAGGACTGCGGGAAGGCTAGTGAGCCTATCCTGCCCATGGACACATTTTATCTGGCCCTTTGTTTTTGACCTGTCTGGCATGGGAGACCCTGCTGAAGGCATGTACCATCGCCAGCATAGCTCGCAACCGCAAAGGGGCACACAGGCTTCTTCCCTGCTAAAATGGTTAGGGCAAGCCTTTCACTCCCTACTTTTCTGCCACCCACCTATGCTCAAGCCCGGGGATATACCCAGGAACATTCCTTTGTCCTGACCATCCTTTCAGGATGCTATAAATCCAAAACAAACCAATCCTGGGCAGTAGCTACATGTGAGTCAAAAGCAAACTGTTCCAGCCCCCACAGCCACCCAGGGCTCGGGTACCTCCCACGGCCCCAGCCCAGTCAAAACCTCTCAACCTCCCGCAATAACCCACTATCCACCCTGATCTTACCCTCCCCCCACTGCGTTACCACAGATCTTCCCTTGCACTGCTCGCCCACAACACTCCATACAGGACTGCCCCACCTGCCCTCTCACTGGTTCAGGGACCCCCACGGCCCACACAACACCCTTCCCCTCCTCCAAATTGGACTGGCAAACCTCTGTGTGCTCCAAAGTTCTTCCTCTCTTCTCCCACGAGGGCACTATCCCTGCCGGCAGCGTGGCCCAGCGCAGCCGGCATCCAGCGCAGCGTGGCTGGCAGTCACAGCGTGGCCCAGCGTGACCCAATCTAGAAAATTAGAGGACAAGTAAATGTGCAACTGTTATCTTTACATAAATAGATATGAAATTTTTGAGAAATACAAGCATTTTCCATTTCTCAGACTCTTTCTCTCAGAAGGTGAAATGATTTTATTTATCTAGGACTTCTCTCTTAGTAAGAAAAGCAGCATGTGTTAATTTTTCTAAATTTTATAAATACAAAACCAGTTGTGACTGCCTCTTAATTGCAGTAAAAGTGCAGACAAGTTTTAATTTATAATGATAATATCACCATAATGAGAAAATATATTAAACATTTAATTGTCTACATCAGTACAGAAATTTCTTACCTACAGGAAGGTAGATAAACATATATAGTGAGAGTAGAGTATTCTCTTAAATCATTAGTTATGTGCTACTATTTTTGGTCAACTCTCCTTTGTGACTTTCAGGCAATAAAGTTCATGCTTTGGAAGATTGTCCTAGACGAAACAGATCCTGCAAAACAAGAATTTATAAGAAATAAATTAAAAATTAAAAAACAACAGGTAAAATTACCTAGAAGCACATAGAAAGGAAACGGAGTCTAAGTGAATTTCCCTGCAAGGAAGGACTCAGATAACTATACTGATTTAGAAGTTAAAATAATGCACTATAAAATCATACATGGGAGCTCCTGAAGGAAAGTCACTATTGCTAAATACAGTATGAGAAGAGGAATTTCTGAACAGTCTCTGTCTGTTCCAGGAAGGACAAGTTTTGCTCCCAGCCTCCTTAAGCACTGGTTACCTGAATGATGTGTATCCATGCTTCCTCACTTCCTAAATAAGTATGAAATATTGGTCAACATGCTTCCATCAGTCAGTTAGAGCCAGGAGGTTTGGGAAAGGAAGAGTCTTTTTGGTCCATTTTGCACTTAATGTGAAAGAGAAGGACAATGACCTGGCACTTATTTCAATTCCTCACATCACAGATCATATATAAGAATATAATTCATAGAAGTCGTTCTACCAAAGTCAAGACATCTTAGCAGAAAAAACTGTTCTATCTGATTACAGTACTTGTTTAATTAATGTAATGGGTAGACAGGACAGTATCATGCTAAGTAAACAATCTTAACAGAATGTGTTTTGAAAGTGAAATGTACTTGTGATCTACAGATGATTTTTGTTATTCTAAGAATAATGATAGCATATTCAAAAATAGTTTTCTGTGTGCAATTTTGCTTTGCCTTCTTTATATAGTTCTCCTTATAAGTTCCTCTAAATTATTATTTAAGTATTTACATGGAGCACAACTTTATGGCAGAGCTTACAATCTAGGACTGTGTACTATCAAATTAGATCTCAACTACATACATCATCCAGAAAATTTCAGCATTTGCACAACATATTTATTCAGGTGGAATTTAATTAAACTGAACAAATTAAAGCTGACTACTGAGTCATTTCAAAACATTGAAGCAGAGAAGTAGACAGTGACACTGGAACAATTTACAGCCATCTAGGATGTTGTCATCTCTCAGTAGCCCTCAATTAGCCATTAATAATTTTGTGAAATTTAAATTCT